TATATCAGTAAATATTTTGTTTAGAATCCCGTAAGAGAGTAATGGTAGTATAATATGAAGACTATACAATCGATACCGAAGTCTGAGTCACATTTTTATTGAAAGTTTGATATATTTTCGAAGTAAGGATGGCAGTCAGAGCTAAAAGCGATTTTATGTCCGTCTGAGTAATATTTTATTTTCTGCACTTTAGTTTACAGATTTAGAATGCATGTCATTTAAGTAATAAAATGTGTAATCTTTCATTCATACAAAGTAGCTAACATATATGGTTATAGTGATTTATGAAAAATTACGATGTAACAAATATTTTCGGTCAAACTATACTGTTTTTAATTTGCTGTTACATGCAAATATATTTTGAACTAGACATCATTTTAGATATATGAATTATATTTTTATAAAACGAATATGATATGATTTTAAATCAAAATGAAGGACATAAAAAAACAATTACGATTTCTACAGACATTTCGAAAGAAAATAAAAGCAATTTTTATTTTTTCTAAATAAGTATCCTTTGATGGTAAAGTATCAAATTCATAATTTATGATAAACTATAAACTAAAATGTCTTATTTATACTAATATTATACGCATCGTTGTAAAAAATTAAAAATAACATATTATGAAAGGTGCAATGTTATGTCCCCTAGATTAATAACAATAGATAAAAAAAAACAATCAAAGGCTTGGTACTTTGTAATGGATTTATACGTATATTTTCTTTTTATACTTTTTCGATCAGGGTATTTTGCGGTGGCATTATAGATTAAGTGTCTTCGTCGACGTTCGACTCCAATATAAACTGATAAGGATTGCCAGTTTACCCGCCAAAGGTCGGTAGTTCTCTACAGGCACAGTGACTGCTGTGTCCTCCACAAATACAAACTGACCGCCACGATATAGCCAGTAGTGCTAGAAGTGGCGTTAAACACCAACAATCAATCAATCAATCATCGTCTGCGTCGATTTTAATACATTTTCTTTAATCATAAGACAATGCTTGAAAATCTTTTTTTAATTAGAGATTGTGATTCAATTCGATTCGATTCTGAAAAACGAATTTTGATGAGAAGCATTTATTTTAACTTTTTGTTGTTGTTTTAACTATAAAATTTTCTATCTCAAATAAGCAAAAAAATTTCTGGTTTCCAAGATATAATGTGAACAATATGGCCTAAACAAGACTATTTCCACGTAGAAGAGGACAATTTACTTTAGCATTGTAAATAGAATTCTGTCAATTGTGAGATGTATATAATTGACTCATCCTGACAAAAAACTGAAAAAAACTGTCAGCGGTGTAAATGGACTCAAATTAGTATTAATTTAAGAATAAGGAGATGTGCCAATGAGACAACTATCCACCAAAGTTCAAATGAAGTGGATGTAGTCAATTATAGGCAACCGTACGGCCTTCAAGCCTTTTATTCTAAATCCGATTGAATAGGGTTTAATTCTTTGAATCTTTGATAAAATTCATGCTTGGGTTCTGGTTGCTCTAACGCCTTTGGAGATTGTACTTTTTGCATCTATGATGAGTTTTCCTATTTAGGTTCAGCTTGCAAAGAGCACCAGTAGTATGTTAACCGACTTTACATTTTTACAGTTTTCAAGTAAAAAAGGAGCTACAAATAGCATGTTTACATGCAACATAGAATCAAGCACATTGCTGTAAATTTACAAATTTAAGGTTTACTTTTCGTCATTTTGTGGACGTGCTTTCAGCACAGCAATCCATGTTCCGTTAATTTTAGTAGTTGGTGTTTATAGTTTTTTCCACTTTATGATATTATCTTTATTTTTTGAATTGTCAATATCTATGTCTTTCATCATGAACTTAAGGAGAAGTGGATGTTAGAATAAATTTAGATATAGGGAGCAACCATTTCCTTTTGACTTTTGTTTGAACAGGTCGTGTATTTTATTTGCATTTTTGTTAAATTGACGGATTAAACATAAAATGATTAAACAGAATCAAATATATCCATGAGATGTATTTGACCAAGAAGAATAAACATCGACTTCCTCTTATTAGACAGCTATCCAGTTTTAATTTTTTATTTAAAAACAGGGGGAAAATCCGTACAAGGGAGAGGAAATATATTCAGAAGATGTAACTTTGGAATTTTCTGTATCAATCACAAAGTCATGATGGAGACCAATGTTCTTCTAAAGAGTTCAAACAGAGCCTTTATCAACTTTTTTTATCAGCTTTATTGCTATCAGATAACTTTAATAAAGTTACCTCTACATTTATTTGCTTAAATGTATATGCTTTTTTTTTTTTTTTTTTGGTTTGCATGTTTGTAATGCCTTTATGATTTGATGGTATATAGGGACAATAGAGTGCGAATACGTAATCAGCCAATTAATTATCTACACTTCACGTGAGAGTGTGGAATCAAAAATAAGATAATTGAACATAACATCATTCAAGATCATGTTCACGGTGTCCACAAACAAAGCAGAAATGAATGGTGTGCCATAAAACTCCATCGATACTTTGTCATTTTTCATTGGCAATGTATTGTTAGCAACCGCACCCGTTTTATTTGTTTGTTATATACAAACTCAAAATCGTAGGTGGTATTGGAACCTAAGAAATCTATATCCTCATTGTGATATACTCCATTGTTCAATTGTAGGATGTAATGTTAATATAAACATTCTAGTATAACGATGTCAAATAAACCTCATTAGTCTAGGTATAAATCAGACAAAAAAGGAGGGATAAACAATAGGAATTCTTGAACGTATAGAGAGCATGTGTTGATTAGGCAATGACCATTTATATCACCACTCACACAATTCCCAAGTCACGCCATATAGTAACTGTTAAAGCCAGGAATATGACCAAACCTGTTATAATGTCAGATTATTCTCACGGAAAAATGATCATCATTTCTTTTAGAATATTTACTTATTTATTAAGAATTATACATATAAAACTAAAGAAGATTTGGCATGATTGCCAACGAGACAACTCACCACCAGTGACAAATATCTTTATAACAACAATTGCATGTTTAGATGAAAAAATCTCCCTGATCAATCTTATACTTTCTTACACTTTTCTTAAAAATACTTTCGACATTAACCAAACTAAACTATTCTGGATAAGCACACAGGTTATTGGATTGAACTTCAAAGAGATTTCTTCATACTCAACTTTTATGATAAAATTAGGCTTAAGTACTAACCGTTGTTCAAATATTTTATAATTGCATGTATTATCAGTGAAAATTAACCTTAGATGGATTGGCTATTTAATTTTAAGTCCTTTTGGTCATATAACTCTTCAACTGTTTCGGTTCTTATACATCCTTGGCTTTCAATTGTTCGGCTTTAAGCGTTCCTGATGAATTAAGGTAAATCCAGAAAAGTGCTTTGGACGCATGACATTTATAAAGTATTTTTTTTTCTCTATTTTTTATAAAAGGAGTGGGACCTGGTGCGATGACAGTGGAAGCGTTTCCTGTTTGGCATGCAAATCCCGTCATCCGAATCCACACTTAGTTAAAATGTCACAATTGGGGGAAAAGGAAACATTCGGTGAAAAAACGGATCAATTCTAGAATCTAAAGAACTTATTCGCGAATACAAGTCGCTAGTTGAAACACAGACACATGGTATCGGTATGGTGTCTGTAAAACATATGAAATGTCGATTTTAGTCGTTCTTCCTCATAACTCTGTTGAAGGAGTCTTTGTGTAAATAGCACACCTCTGTTAATGGAATTCGTATAGTGTGAACATACACGAGCGTTACGTGTTAACTGACATATATAAAAGCCATACGATGGGACAGAGTGTATATTACTGCTTGGAAATGGGAAGTTGACACTTGGAAAATTGAAATCATCACGTTTGTCATAGATCCTAGTTTTAAGTCGTCCATCTGTGTCAATATTGAGGAAGATATCAAGATATGACACAGACCATCTCTGTAGTATCCGTAATACTAATATCACTGAAATATATGAGATGCAAGCACTTACTCAATATAGGTTATTTAGTGACAGGATATCATAAATTATATTATGTCTGAAAGTGAAATTGACCTTATGCAAGGAATTTTTACCTACGATTCTCATTCTCATTTTTGTAGAAAAAGCTCAGACGATGTAGTCGATCAATCAATTGAACATGATGAACAGTAGAGCATATCAAAAGTTTTGATATTTCTACAAAATTGTAATGAATGTGACTGAAGATTTAAAGATAGATTTTTTACAATTAAAAAAAACATCTTCTGATTGACACACATAGTTGAATAAACTTGATCACACTATTTCCGAAGGCCAGCTTTTACTGTAGAAATACTTTCAGAAGAACTTTCCTCCAAAAATGGTACTTTCATAGTTGAAATAAGATTTGAAAATTAAGATGATATTTGAATTACTTTATTTTGAAAAATCACGTGAAATTCATCCGAGTTTTACAGGAGATTCACGTGAAACTCGGGTGAAATCAGTTCACTTGAATTTCACATTAAGCTTGTTTGATGTGAAACTCACGTGAGTGAAATTTCCCTGTGTACTGGATACTAAATTTACACAAAATCCTGACAAAGAAGTATTTTAAAATAAAAATACCGAATGTGGTGTGTCCGAAGCGCTTTTCTTTATTTAGATTGATCAGGAACACCCAAACCCGACTGTGTATAAAGAGGGGAAACACCTTTGTTTATAAGTAATCACATTGAAATTAAAATGTTTTTATCAATTTTCCCTGCCTCCCTCCCTCCGCCCTCCTTTCAACTATAATTTTAAAAGTTTGATAGATGTTCTTATATATTTGGTCAGAATTCGGATTTGAGTGTTTCTGATGAATCTAAATAAAGAAAAGCGCTTCGGACGCACCAAATTGCATTAAATGTTATTTTCATTTATCGTTCAAATTGGTCCTCTAAGGAACAATATGGTTATGAGAATCCAAGAAACTGTAAACAATAAACCATATATTTTATTATTTGGTATTTTTATTTTTGTTTCAGATGACGTCACTGACTTTGTTCGAACATGGTTTGCCAAAATCCACTCGCGAGTACAACACATACTCAACAATGATAATGAAAGAGAGAACCATGTACGCGAGAGAAGAATTTTGACGAAGAGAGAAATTAAACCACCTCCAAACTTTGAACTTGTAGAACGGGACTACCTCATGTTTCTGTCAAACCAGTATCTTGATCAGCTGTTTGACTATGCAAAATATATTAACCATAGTAACGAGACAAGGGCTACCTTAGATAGAGTCCTTAGTGATGAAATAGCAAGGCTTAAAAGAATGACAACTGAAGAACTCAAAGTTTACTGTGCAAAATTACAAGCAGCAATGGCCCATGGAATCAATCTGAACCATGAAATAACGGTGAATGGACAAACTTACTCTTTAGAGAGTATTGCACAAGTTTGCTGCCCATGGGGATAATTGCGATGGAAGTTCAATACAATAACGCTTATAATGATTTTATATTATTATGGACTTTATGTTTTACATGATATATGATATATTGTCTTACATGTAACATATACTTTAGGTTCTGAGAATACATTAGAAAACGAAATAGCAAAAAGCCTAACTTCCAGGGGCGGTTCAAAGGGACCCGAGTGAGCCCGGCTTCTAAGGATTGCAATTTGTGTTTTAGTACGATTTTATGTTTTACTGCCGCCCCTTTTATTTTCGGTGTGCCCATATGGATCCTCCACTTTTGTCTTTCAATGCAAATTTAATAACGAAAATGGTAATTGTTTATAAATCCCGTCAATTTAGATATGATCCACCTAAACTCATTGGACATTTGAATAAACTTATTGTTAAAGGTTATGAATTTAATGCCCCATATATTTGAATATGGTTTTATCGGTACTAACATTGATTTTGTATTTGATGAATTATAACATAACTGAATATGTGTTGCTCTACAGTTATTTAAACTTATGGCCCTACAGCCTGTAAATGATATGTACTCATATTTTGGCATTGCAAAAGGTCGTGAATATTCATTCTGTTTATGACCTTTTTATTCTCAATCCGTTGGATGTGTGTTGGTTGATATTTTAGTATGAGAGAAGGATTAACTCGTTAGTCGTAATCGGGTTTCAGTCACTATTTTTTAACAAGATTTAAATTGTTTGTTCTACTGTTTTTCACAACTGCACCAGGTTACGGAAGGGTTAATTACGCACAAACATGTATAGACCCGCCACTATCTTAATGTGCCTGTCCCTAGTCGGGAGCATATAATTCAGTGGTTGTCGACGGTTGCTGTCTGTCTTATTTGCTTTATTGTGTCATAGTCGATTATATAAGGCCTCTTGTTTGTTCGTTTGAATAGTTTCACATTTTGTCATGTCACAGCATTTTTATATCTGACCACGGTATTATGCGGTATTGGTTTTGCTCATTGTTGACGGCCGTGCAGTGCCCTATATTGCTTACATTCACATCAGTTGGACTTTAGTGTGTAGTTATCTCATTGGCAATCATACTACATCTTCATTTTTTAAACTAGACATGTTTATTTCATCAAACATCATGTTGGATGAGGCTCTATATGTTGTTTTTTTTTTTCATTTAAGCAATTTTTTTCCATATATCATTCTCATAAGGTATAATTCATATAAAAATTGAAATGCATCAAGTTTAAAGGAATATATATTTCAATAATGATTTAATTGCTATGACATTTTGGTTATCAAGTTTGTGGGTAACAATACCGCAATTTCCTAATTACCCTTTATTCTTTTTGAACCGATCAGAGGGATATTGAACCTCGTTTCTAGAATACCCCTATGGCTCAGATTTATACCAGTTTACAATCCATATAAAAAAAGTAATAAGCAATATTCATACGGTCTTATTTATGAACTCTATTATTGTAATTTCCTTGGTAATTTGTTACAAGCGAAGTTATGGACACAAGGAAATGTAGGTATTATACCTCAATGCGCATGCCAACGACACAAATGACCAAAAGACATCGAGAGTTCAACACACAATCTTCAACATTAGACAGGTGGCTGTACAATGTGTCGTGCTCTAAATATTCCGAGTCAAAACAATGTTTCAATGAATTAAACAAGACTAACAAAGATCTGACATCAACACAAAATTCGCAACATAACCAAAGTAAAAACCATTAATATAAGATCGAAGAGATTCCAGACTTAGGACAGGCATATACATGTGTGGCGGGGGGAAAGTAGCTTCTGTTTAGACATTGTCTTTATAGTGATAAAATGGATGCCGCGTGCTAAAGCGGAACAAGAGTAGCGTTTGTCATGAGTTTGTGTAGTCAAATTTTTATTTTTCAGTTTTATCATTGATTGTTCTTACTTATTTTGATCCAATGAAAAATGAGCCGTTATTCGATTTATTATTGATAAAGGGGCTACAGTTAACCACAATTAGTTAATATTCATACCAATAACATAAACGGTACCAATTTTGATGCACCAGATTCGCATTTCGACAATTTCAGTGATGCTCAAGGCCAAATTATTTGAATATCAAGAATCTAATACAAATGGTGCAGAGCGGATCAAACCAAAAAAGACCTAAAGAACAGTAAAAAAAAAGTGATATATGATTATATTCCTTGTTAATTATCTTTTTTTAAATAAATAAATCAAACCAAATATGAACATTGTCAGATAAAAATGTCACTGAAAAATACACATGCTGAACTAGTGACTTTTGTAGAACACCTGGATTCATCAATAGTTTGTTGTGGGGTTGTTGTTGCTCGATCTTTAGTATTCTATGTAGTGTTTACTCCACAATTAAGTGTCTGTTTGTCTATTTCTAAGGTCTTTCCTTTCACTATAAGGAAAGACCTTGCTGTATTTCTTCTGATTATTATTATTCTTTCCGCCAAACTTTAACGACATTTCCCAAAAAAAGTACGTGACATGTTGAAATGATATTAGGTATCAAGTATCGGTTGACCAAAAGCTATCTTGTGGTTAGGGCACCACGCCGTAACATTTCCTTTATAGCGGTTATCTCCCCTAACATAGAAAACCTTGTTATCATTCAAACACCGTAACTATAATAGGTAGAAAAAAACCGAAGGGTGGAATCTATTCAGGACCAGACCCTGGTTCTTCGTTAAATTTAGATCGAAAAGATTCAACGACTCATTGGTAGGGTTATGCCCTTTGAAAATTAACCGATGTCGGCTGGCCACTAAAACCCAGAAACCGTAAGTCGTAGCCACCTAGGATCTTCACCAATCATCACCAATTCATGTCAAATTATTACGTTGACCTTGACCTTTGACCTTACACCTTGTTATGGGATGATCACAGAAACCATTATACTTACAGGTCTTGAATAGTGGAAAATGTTTGGGTCATTAAGGTGCAACTTTGTTACATTTTGACGGAAGAGATTTTACCTTTCTTACTAAAGGTCTTAGACTCATGGGGTCTTTTGCAATGACATCGGAAACAAATGACCTTGACGAAGGTCACAAGGGCAAAGGTCAAGGTCATGTCCCAGATAGCAAATTATGTGTTTTGACCTTATTTAAAGTGGTTTAACTGTGTTATAAAGCCTTTTTAAGGTTGATTTTGACCTTTGACCTTACAATGCTTTATAGGATATCTCAAAAACCATTATACTTACAGAAATCGTGAATAGTGAAAAATGTTTGGGTCATTTAGGCGCAACTTTTTAACATTTGACCGAAGAGATTTGACCTATCCGTAAGGGGCATATCCCCCGTTAAAGGTTTTTGAAAAGACAGAAATAGCTTAACTCTTAAACAAAAGGTCCTAGACCCATGGGGTCTTTTGCAATGACATCATTGACCAATGACCTTGACATAGGTCATAAGGTCAAAAGTCAAGGTCACGTCCCAAATTGCGAATTATGTGTTTTTACCATATTTTAAGGGTTTTGTGTGTGCATTCTACGCTTAATTAAATATATATTTTACATAACGAAAAGGGGAGACCTCTAAATTGTTCACGAACAATTGACATTTTAATCTTTCTTCTTTTTGATATGGAGTTGTTTGTTAATCAACGACTTCCGTTTTTGGAAGGCCGTTGTCTTTTTCCCTTTTTTGAAAGAATGAAATTAAATTACAAACTACAAGTGCAAAAGAATATGACACGCGTTTAGCTAATAATTACATAGAATTAAGGATACACATCAAAAATAAGATTGACGTCAACAACATCACCACATAACACGTATCTTGTATCAATCTAAGACAAAAGTATGACTAACACTGTAGTCTAGTATTTATAAGGAACTGGACTATAATTTCTTACATCCACGTGATTCGGACTCTGGTGTGGATAGTTGTCTCATTGGCAATTATACCACATCTTTTAATTTTCATACTTATAGCAGATAAGATATCGTAAGTAGATAAAATGAGAGACTGGACGGGAGAAGTCCGAACACTTACGGTCAATCCTATATTTTAAATACCCCGAATGCTTACATATAATATTGCAGTTCATCGTAAGCGTTCCTAACCTCGAAAGAGTCCAAAGTTACAATAGTATTAGTAATTCTAATCGCTTACAGTCCATCGTTAGTGTTACTTACACTGAACGCTTTGAGTCGATCGTAATTGTTACTTACCCTAAATGCTTACCGTCCATCGTAATTGTTACTTACCCTTTTCAGATCTGTCAGATAGTCACTTCTTGTTAAACGATACTTTGAAGTTTTATAATACTCATTGAGCGGGGTATGTTTTGTCTAATATTTATCAGTTTATTTCTTGTTTTGGTCATGGAATTCATGATAAAAAAATGAACCTTGGTAAGATTTGTAACACTACTGTTCTAGGTTTAGGGGAGGGTTGAACACTCACAAATATGTTTAACCTCGCCATATTCTTTATGTGCCTGTCCCAAATCAGGAGCCTGTAGTTCAGTGGTTGTCGTTGGTTCATGTCGGTCATATTTGTTTTTTCTTAAACTATTTTGTTATAAATTAGTCAGTTTTCTCGTTTGAATTGTTTCACATTTTTCATGTCAGGGCCTTTTATAACCGACTATACGGTATTGGTTTTTCTCATTGTCGAAGGCCGTACGTTTGCCTATAATTGCTTACATCCACTTCATTTGAACTTTGGTGGATTTTTGTCTCAATGGCAATCATACCACATCTCCTTATTTTTATAAGGATTTAAACTACTACAAGTCCTATACAGACTTTCACATTGAGCAACCACTACATTTTAAGAGGCGATGTTGAGTTGTACTGTGTATGATATTTTCACATGTTACGAGTAGTCATTTCCTGTTTCATAATACATTTGTACTTTGATATATGTCCCTTTGCTATCTTCCGGTTCATTTGGTTAAGTTTTATTATACCAACTAACAATGGAACTTTTTGTCAATGTTTAATAAACGAGTGGTGTTTTCTTTGCACGGCCTCTCTTGCAACTTCTTTTTTCATATATATCAGATGTTTTACAATATAACGAGCTATTAAATGGTGTTTTCCTATATTTCTTGTTTTTGTTGTCAGATATTCAACCTTTTCAAGCTGTTGGCTTACACGAAAAAAAACTGTTTTAGAGTTGTGAATACGTTCAATGTCCTCAGCAAAAGTATAATAACGTCTACGTGCAAAGGTATCGTAGTTATTTCAAGATTGAAATTCTTGATAAGACAAACTATTGTTTGAACGTATTGTAATCAAAAAGTAGAAATAAATGAGTGTACAAAACCGCCTTTTGAAACAATAAAAACAAAATTACTTATAATTCAGGTTACATTTATACAATTTCACGTTATTTTACAATCATTATATTTTTGTTTAAACAACATATGTCACCTGTTTACCAATAAATAGTATTTGTGTACGTTTGAAAAGCCTTACGAAACTAAGAAAAAAAACTATTAAAAATCAAACGTATATCCATAAAATATCACTC